CACAAACAGTAACATACAGAATTCAGACTTTCTTTGTATGTCCTATCTTTGCATAGTTTTTTCTTTTATATTACTTTACCCACTTTTTAAGCCCTTTATTATTTTAAAACTATATATTTCTTTTTTTATGACTCTCTATACCTTCTCTTATCTCTCCAAAGCCTATGTATATTTTTTAACACACTGTAACCTATTTAGAGGTTTTTTTTTTTCTACCTGAATCTGTCTTTACTGTGTATCTGTAATCTTTTTCTGACCTCATGAGATGAATCTTAAAATATGCCAGGTGTAGCTTAGCTTAGTGCACAGTGGCTGGCTCTTCCCACAGGCATCTGCCAAGAGCCACTTTCCTGTATATGACTGTGCTTATAGCCAGCCTGAAAGACTGCAGGAACCTGCCGCTCGGCTCATCACAGGGTGCGCTGGCAGCAGCCAGGATATACGACCCTGTACCACAGCTGGCATGAGAGACATGAGACTAGACAGATGCCTTTGGCTCTGTGTCTGTGTGTTTAGAACCTTTCTGTAAAGCTTTCTCAGGCCCTATGTGGAAATTCCAGCCCCACGTTGGAATGCCATTTGTAGGCGAAGTTTCTATCCTGCCAGCAACCCCCAAATAAACAGACTGGGGTTTATATGAAATATAAACGTTCGACTGATAGCTCAGGCTTGTTACTAACTATCTCTTACAACTTAATCTGTTTCCATTAATCTATGAGCTGCCCCAGGGTTCGTGACTTTTACTCCTATTTTGTGTTTCTGACTTGTTCTCATCTAGTTGGCAACTCCCATGACACTGCCCTTCTGCATCCCAACGTTCTTAGCTTTAATGTCACACCCATACTTCCTGCCTGTCTACCTGCCAGTCAGTTCTTCTATTAACCAATGACAGTAATGCATATTTACAGTGTACAGAAGGATCATTTCACAGTATCATGCCATAAAGTTCACGCCACCTTCTATAGCACCATCACCCAGAGGCCAAGCCTTCAAGGTTAATCTTCTGGGGGACCTTGACTGAAAAGATGAACAAAAGGACCTTTTGTTATTCAACCTGAGAAAGCAAGACAATTCACCCCAAGATCTTTTAATTTTATCATGTCTCCAAAATTCATTCTTCAAAATACTATAGTGTAGTCACAAGTTCTAGAGGGTAGGGTAAGGGCGGTTTTGGTGGGAGGGGGAGCATTTATTCAGTCTGTCACAGTAAATTTACAATAATACTCCTGACCTTGTCAAGATTTAATCAATATAGCTTGATAACAATAAGCGAGCAAGCAAATACAGATGGTTCAGTGACTTAGTAAGAATTTGTTTTGGAGTCCATTATGTATTTGCCACGTTTTAGGCTATTTTCAGAGCCTGTCCAGAAAACCAGGTTTATTTTACATACTTGGCCTTTCTTGATCTCAAATCAATTCATTGTCATGTTAAAATGACATCCGTTTTATGGGTAACTCTAGAATGAAAACAAGATGATAAGTCTATTATAGGAAGATTAGACGGAGAAGGATAATTACTCCAAGAGACAAAGCCGCGAACAGCCCTTCGATATTGAGCTCTCTGTGTTCCTGAGCATGCACATTTTCAGAATATGTGCTTTCAGGCTGAGATGAAAAATTGGGACTCTGTGGTGGGGATGAACTGTGGCTCTTTGTTGAGAAAGAACTGCGGCTCTGTGGTGGGAAAGAACTGTAGCTCTTTGGTAGGGAAGAACCGTGGCTCTGTGGTGGGAAAGAACTGTAGCTCTTTGGTGGAGGAGACGGAGATTTGGGTGGCTTTGCTTTATATGCACACCCTCCATTGGGGTTCAGAGTGCATGCTTCACAATTGGCTCTGTCATGGGGTCGATCCGAATACACCCTTTCATTTGAAGTTGATGATATCTTCTTGAGGCCATGTCCATAGTATTTCTGCACAATATAACTAACTAGCTTCTCCAGAATCCTTTGGATGCTCTCTGCAGAGAACTTAGGATTCTCAAATTTAGACTGAGAACACTTCTGGCACCTCTGACCAAAGATCCTCATGAGCACCTGGCCCTGAAGTTGCCTAGCCTCGCAGTACATGTGGCACAGGATCTTCACTTGGGCAGAACTCCAATGTCTGCTGCATATGGAACACTGGAACCTGTAGGCAGAACAAAGAAGCCAACAGTGTCCTTAGTTGTCTCTCAGACTTGAGAGACAATGGTCAGCTAAGGAATTCTAGGAATCCCTTTCATATGGTTTTGAATGACCTGGTCACAGAGAAGCAAGAACAAGGGGCACCGTGTTTTAGATGCTTTCCAGTTACTACTGAACCTCCATCTTTGATAGTAAAAGCCTCTCTGGAAAAAAAGAAGAGAATTTGCAGGAAGTCAGTGGCAGTGCACACCTTTAATCTCAGACCTAGGAGGGCAGAGGCCGGCAGATTTGTGTTTGAGGCCAGCCTGGTCTACAAAGTGAGTTCCAGGAGTATCAGGGCTGTTTTACACACACACACACACACACACACACACACACACACACACACACACGAGAATTGTTATTATGTGCATAAAACGTTTTTCTTCACGATGACACAAAAGTTCTATAAAGTGCTTATTGAGAGGCAGGCAATGCTTCTGCCTTTCAGTGTTAGCGCCCTGCATCAGTTGGTCATTCCTCACAGGTATGATTGAGCCCCTCATTAAGAAAAGCGAATAATAAAATGTACACACAACTTGGGATATACAGGGCAAGTGGCTGAGGTTTCCTTAGCCTGGGCCATTGAAACCAACCTTATTCATCTACCAACTACAGAGCATACTCTACCTCTATTGAGCGACATCCTAGGAACAGATTAGAATATGTGAAAATATATGCCTGAGTCTCATAAAGGGTAGGGCACAGGGGGCTTGAGACAGGGCAAGGGCGATCAGGCAGCAGCACAGATGAGGGGGTAGGAAAGAAGTGCGGGCCCTCGGGGCCCTGGAAAAGGCCCTAGAGTTCTAGAGACAGGGGGTTTGGCTTCCCTGACCAGCCATTCCTACTCTCCTGATTAGGTAAGGAAAACTGTTCCCTACAACCTGGAGCTTGATTGGGACCCCAGGGAGGGCAGCCGATAAAGAAAAGGCGTTCCTCGGACACTCGGGCCTGGGTTTTAGCTTTCTCTCTTTTCTGTCCACAGGTTTTCTGTAAAACAGTGTGCAATATGGCTGCTTGTATTTAGTTGACTCTTAGGAACTAGCCCTGAGCAGAGGTCAGGCAAGGAGTCTTGCTGCAGCCTGAAGGGTCTGGTCAGTGTTAGTTTAGGAGACTCCCTCAAAATTTGATTCTCCCTCCCCTCCCCTGCCCTCCATTCTCCTTTTTTCAATTCCAGCTCCCTGCAGGAAATGCCACGCTGGGAGTGGAGAGCACCTGCCCTAGAAGTTCTGGCCCCTGAGTAAGATATTTGTGTCTCCAGAGACGGTCAAATCTCACAGGTTCCACAACTAAATCTACAAGTTAGAATAGCAATAAAGGCCCATTAAGAGCAAACTCCTTTTTGTCAAGAGAATAGAATCTCTGGTCTGGGTGGATACGTAACATTTCAGTTGGATCAGCCAAGCACCCAGCAAATTGATTGACCACCCCTAAGAAGAGAGGTTCACTTTAAGCCATGCTGTTGGGGTTATCTCCTGGAGTTGCCCTCCAAACCCTGCCCTCAGCTGTCCCCTCCAAACCCCACCCCTGAGAAAGCCTGCCAAGAATCAGCCCCTCCCCTGGGCTGCTCGGGTTATGTAATGCATGCAGGCTATTTAAGACCTGGTCGCCATATTTGCCATGTGATTCCTCCCCTGCTTTCCCAAGAGTCACGCAGGAGTTGCTTTGCTCTGCTCTGTTTATTAAACCTGGATTTATTAATTCAGCTTGATTGGCTTATTACATGGGCAGCAGAGGCTATCCAATGACCAGGGATTCAGTACTTCTCACATGCTAGAGGGACACGTGGGATATCCTTTTAATGATAGTGTCATTTCCTTCCCAGAATTCCTGCTCCTTATGGCCGCAGCTTCCAAAACCCAGCTCAGCAACTCGCCTTGCCTGGCTTCACAAGTCTGGTCACTTTTCTGAATTACTCAGGCAAATATAACTTTCCCTTTTCTCCTTCCCACCTCAGTCCTACGCATGCTTTCGGTGACACTGGCCTTGCTTACTTGTTCTCTTTATGTCCCACCCCTGCCGTGTGGCCATCTACCACGGCACAGCTCCAGGCTACTTAACCCATAGGGTAGGGCCTTCTGCCCCTTCTTCATTCCCCTCCTCCAGGCAGCCACTGAGATTTACAGCTTGCCTACCCAGTGGCTTTACTTTGAAACAAATAAAATGGCCCTCAAGCTTCCATCTGAGTGTCCTGTCCGTTGTAAGACTCTTTTACTGAAGAAATTAAGAGCTCCAAGAAGGATGCCTACTTCCCCTGGTGTCATCAAGCACCTATAGAGGGGACCCTCCACATTTCTGGTAGCATGCTCATGCCAATTCTGTCTCGTTGTTTCTATAAACACCAGCACTGCTGCTTGGAAGACACAGACAGGTTAAGAACAGCCCTGACCCCCATTTGGACCCAAATTGTAGATAAATCTACTTCTCCATCGTAAGTATTTTACTATGCTTTCTCTTGATAAGAGGGGTAAGGAGCTGGCTCCAAGGCCAGGCCTGTTCTAGCTGGAGATTCAGAAAAAAAAAAAAAAAAAAAAAAAGAGAGAGAGAGAGAGAAGGTTGGAACAATTTGGAGGAATTTGGAGGCACTCTCCACAGACTCCAGAACTATTATTGTAAGGAGACCTGGTAGGACAGAAAAACGTCCTGCATTAAACAAGAGGGAGGCTTGGCGTCCAGAGGTCCCCAACCAGCTCCGTGAGCGCAGAAGACTGGGGGACCCACCCAGTCACATTTGTTTTTCCCTTCCCCCCACCCCGTAATAACAAATTGGCACTGGCTATTCTGCACTCAGTGGGACCTTCAGGAGGACCGACCACCTGCCCAACCCCCACTCACCAGCCATCTCCTTCCTGCTGGTACTGCCTCCATCCCGTGGTCAAGTCATCCGGCAAAATGTTCTTATCCAGCTGCAAGGTCCACTTGGCCCTGGGTTTCTCCTCCTGAATCAGCTCTTGAAACATCTGCTCCCAGGTACTGGGATCCGAGAATGACATTTGAGGTGATCGCTGAGGTCTAGGCATAGTCAGCAGCTTGCTGTCTTGCTCAATTCTGGCAAAGAAAGAGAGAGAGAACAGTTTCGTTTTCTGGTTCTCCGTTGACTTTCAGTTTCCATTTCCTGCCTTTAGCTTTCGGTTTCCAAGGTGCACAGAACCGTTCTTCATTGGAAAGGCAGAAGGCAGCAGAGAGCTGCCACCGTGTGCAGGGGCCAAGCTAAACCGCCCCAGCAGCCCGCTCTGTTTGCCGTCTAGGGACTGGTGTGTGGAGATCTTTCGTTCATTTCTTTTTTCTCTCTTAAAAGTTTGATTGTAAACAAAGCCCTAGTGTGGGGGTTGATGCAAAGGACGTCTAGTGACTGAGACACAGTGCTTGCTCCAACAGATGCTAGTGGGAGAGATCCCAGGAGAACTGTAGGGGGTTGTGGCCCCAATCACCTGATGGCCCTAATTAAATCCACATGCAAGCCCCTAGCAGGGGAATTTTCCCGGGGTATAAAACATTAAATATGAGTCTTCACCATCAAACACCATGAAACTTGTTGTTTGCAACAAAGAAGTCAAAGCTTTTTGCCCACTCCACCTTTATGCAAATATTTTAACATCCTCTCACCCAGTAAAGTCTTTGTTTATACCAAGGTCCTGTTGCATTGTGGGAACATAAGTAAATTAAATGGCTGACCCCATCCTGATTTCCTTTCTGCCCTTCACCCGGGGTTCTTTTTACAGCAGTTAAATTTTAAGTTCTGATGTCAGACCTCAGCCAATGGGGTAAAGACACGGTCTCTAACTGAGTTAGATTCAAAGCCAGCTGTGCTTCCTGCCCTGGTGTGTTCGAATCCATAGAACACCCTCTTGACCAGGGCTCATGTTTGCTTTGTCTGGACGCTAAAATGTGAGTCCCATTCTCTTTTCTTGTTACCTCAAGCTTCTTTCTAACACTGGTATTTTGCAAGCAAGCACACCAAGGCCTGGCAAACCTTGCCCAAAGTTACAGGTAACTAAGCAGAGGTAAAATTTGAACCTGGGTCCCTATGATTTGAAGACCTGCGGTGTCTGCACCCACTTCACTGCCTAGAGAGAAGCAGTGGAGGCTTGCCGTGGCCTACCACAGGGTACCAGAGCCAGAGGACAGTAATCAAGCCCCATTTTGACATTCTGAGCTAGGGATTCTCTTGTGCCCCGGGGATCAGACTAGGAGACCAAGCTGAACAGATTATTACTCACCTGAGAGACATCCCAGTGAGGCAGTCACAGCAAACCCGTTGTCACAGGTGTTCTGCAGATTGTACAAACTTAAGGGCCGGTAGGTTCAAGGAGGTGTCTGTGGGAGAAATACAAAGCTGGTAAGCCACGGTGGTATTTATAGACTCATCAAACCAGGAAAGAAACCGGCCCCTGGTCCTCTGGACTGCAGAAGCCAGCTTCAAATGTATGCAGTGGGCTCCTCTACCAGTTCTCAGCACCCCCAATTTTTCTAGGACCTTGTTTGTCCTCGGCTTTGTAAGTCCATGAAAACTGCTGTGGTGTACAAGTCTGGTGAGGGCCATTACCTGGAAGTCAGCCAGCTGCCTCTGCGGCCTGCAAAGGTAGAAACAGCCAGACTGTGGAGTTCTTTCTCTGGCATTAAGAAAGAGGACTCTTGATGCTTTTGAAGCCTTGGGTTTGCACCTCAACTTCTCCTTTCATGTGGAAAGTATCCAGCAGGGAACACAGGAGCCTGGTAGGAGGCTTCTCTCACAGACAGAGCAGTGATTTGCTGTTTGGGGGCTGGTGGTGCTCCGGGATTGAACTAGATCTTTTAAAGGTATGCCTAAATTCCAGAGCAGAAACTTGGTTCCTCTGAAGTCTAGTCAAATGGAAAAGATATGAGAAGCAGGACACGCCATCCTTAGAACCCCATTATTTTGTCCATTTGGAAACAGAACCCCCCTATCATCAAGAGCCTTCTAAACTTTAAAGTGACTTTATTGGGCGCCAGAATTGTATATTCTATCATGTAACTATCTTGTTTATAACATAGAAAAGCACCTACGTCTAGGCAAAGAACATGGGGAATTCTGGGAACTTGAAATACATTCTGTCTAGAATGCTAGAGCTAAACAACCCTTAATAATCGGTTTGTTCTATTGTATTCTCCTTTTTGTTTTAAGATTTAAGGTTCTAACAAGGCTGCCATTAACTCTTTGAGGATTTTCATACAGTGTACTTTAACCACATTCATCCCCCTTTGCAACTCCTCTGGCATCTCCCACCTCCCTAGTGTTAGAAATAAACTCAGGCTGTCAAAGAATTAAAGAGACCACCCATTCCAACAGAAGTGTCTGGAAAAGCACTTTGCTCTTGGTAAAGAGGGTGTGCTCTAAAGAGAGAACAGACAGGTAGGAAGGAAGTACACTTGGCTTTTTATTCTAACTCAAGTAGAGATTGAGCCCCCCCCCCACAGTGACTGAGGTACAGCCTCACAGTCTTATCTGATTGGCTAATCTGAAAAGCATTGCACACAGGAAATGAAGGAGGATGGGTGGGGAGGAAAGGGATTCTTATTCTAAGGGGGAGAAGGGTCACTGCTCCAGGCCATCAGATTCTTCTAATGCAGCAGGGGCCTTTACAGGAACAGAATTTACCGGGTGTTTTATAGGGCCTACTGTTTTGGTCTAGAAATACTTGCTAGTGTTTGTAGACACATTCTAGGAAGGGATGGAAGGCTACCCTACTTTAACAGAGACACCTCTAATAGTTACTAAGAAACTTCTTCAGGAAATAATTCCTAGTTTTGGACTGCCCCTAGCTTTGGAGTTCAATAACGGCCCAGCCTTCAAGGCCAGAGTGTCTCAAAATCTGACAAAGGTATTAAATATTAATTAGAAATTATATTGAGCTTATAGGCTACAGGGCTTAGGACAGATAGAGAAGATGAATAAAACTCTTAAGGAAATTGATCAAATTAGTTACAGAAACTGGCAAAAATTGGGCCAACCTCCTCCCTTTTGTCCTGTTCAGGACTCAGTGTGCTCTGTACTGGGAGGGGCTTACACCATTTGAGTTATGTTTGGGAAATACTTCCCATCCTCCCCCAATCCTGAGATATTCCCCAGCAGCCATTTCTAATCATTCCCTTCTCAAGTCAGAGCTGGTTTTGCAGGAAGCTCACCCAGGCAGGGCATCAACTGGACTGAGAAAGGAACCCTGCCATCTCCTGCCTCCAAACCTTCTTACCACTTCCAGTCAGAAGACTTGATTTGGATAAGGAGGATCCCTGTGTGGAAGGGATCCTACATACTTCTTCTTACCATGCCAACTGCGGTGAAAGTGGTTGTTGTCAATCCCTGGTATAACATGAGGGCCTATTTGTTGGGGTTTCTGTCCTGCCTGGTTTCACACTCATTAGGTCCCAAAGAAATCATACAGAGTCTGCATTACTTATAAACTGATTGGTCCACTAGCTCAGGCTTCTTACTAGCTCTTAAACTTACATTAACCCATTATTCTTATTGATGTTAGCCACATGGCTCAGTACCTTTTTCAGCAGGACAGATCACATCTTCTTTGGTGGTCTGGGCAGGACTGGGGAAAGAGCTTCCTTCTTCCCAGAATACTCCTGTTCTCATTGCACCACCTCTACTTCCTGTCTATACCTATACTTGTCCCACCTATACTTCCTGTCTGACTAGTGGCCAATCAGCATTTATTTAAAATGTAATTGACAGAATCCAGAATTGTCCCCCACCACACCAGATTCATCACCCCAATTAAAAAAACATAGACACCTTAAAGATGAGACTGACCAGAAGTTACTAACTTGGATACACAATCTTCATCCACCCCAAAACTGGACATGGGAACGCAGAAAAGTTGGGGATGGGAAACTTTCAGGTGGACCTCTGCCCCCTTATGCTCCTTCCAGGGATGAAATAGTGGGGGTCTAGGGGATGGACAGTGTTATGGAATATGAGTTTAAGATGTGTTGCATTTGTTTATGCTGTGGGACATTTGTTTAATGATGCAAAGATTGTGCATTTGTTTAATCCTGTAAAACTGTGTTACTTTGCCTGTCTAAAGCACCTGATTGGTCTGACAAAGAGCTGAATGGACAATAGTGAGGCTGGAGGGGGAAATAGGTAGGGCTGAGAGGTACAAAGAATAAACAGGAAGAAGAGAATAAGAGATGGGGCAAGAAAAGAAGAAGAAAAGGGGTCAGCCACACAGCCAGTCACAGAATAAGAAGGAAAAAAATGTATATAGAATAAACAAGTGTAAAAGCTCAGAGACAAAAGGTATATGGGATCAGTTAATAAAAGCAGACTAGAAACAAGCCAAGCTAAGACCAGGCATTCATAAGTAAGAACAGGTCTCCATATATTTATTTGGGAGCTGGGTGGCAGGGCCCTGCTGTGGGACAATTGTCTTTTATCCTGTCACTCATATTATTTTTAATAAAATGCTGATTTTATTAGTATTCAGTAGCCAGGCAGGAAGTAGAGGCGTGGGACCAGGCAGGAAGTAAAAGTGGGGCAAAAAGAACAGAAGAAATCTGTGAAGAGGAAAGCTCAATCTGCAGGCATCACCCAGATACAGAGGAAGCAAGATGTGACTGCCTCGTCGAATAAGGTACTGAGCCACGTGGCTAACATAGACAAGAATAATGAGCTAATATAAAATGTAAGAATTAGTTAGCTACTAGGCCAACCATTTTGTAATTAATGTAGATCTCTGTGTATTTCTTTGGGGCTGAATGACTGAAGGACCAGGTGGGACAAAACATGGGACAACAGGTCCCCCCAAAAGTGAAAAACAAACAACAACAATGAAAACAACTACAGGATAGAGGTTAGCAAATCAGGTTGTGGAGAAGACTGGCCAGAAAAAGGCCTGTAGAGACTGCAATTTTATGTATGTTCTGCTGCTGATGAATCATCCTGCTAAGGACAAAGTACCTGCATCATGCCCTCAAATTACAATCTTGTTTCCTACCTTCTGAGGTTTACTCTAATGCCTGAAGAGTCAACACCAGCCTAGAGGACTACATATTCTTTCATGCCCCTGAACCTACCTGGCTTGCTTGTACTAACAGTTTGACAAAATGTGCTTTCATCCAGTTCTCTGGAGAGTCATACCCACACCGCCAC